GTAACATAAGATATGTAGTTTTATCTTATGATGGAATAAAGACCTATATATATAATGCCAATGCCCAAGACGAATACCGAGGATTAGATGACAACAAAGAATGACAAACAAAAGGGTAATTGAAATGGCAGAGATAAATGGAATACGCTGCGAGGTGTACCCTCAGGAGAGAGGGTGTGAACGACTGTTTTACGGCATTGGGGTGGACACCAGAAGGTTGAAGGGCGAGAGGGAGACCAAAGACCACTTGAAGAAGGACTGTCTAAAGAGAGAGAGGCAAGGCGGGGTGGAAGAGCTGGAATGTGGCCAAGGCGGTGGCACGCCACAGAGGGTAGGGCGGAGAATGTGACGGCCTTTTTCGGCCACTGGCGCAACGGGCGAGGATGATAAGAATGATTTCCTGGTCAGATGAAGAGGTGAAGAAGTTATTTGGTCGCTTCTTGCTCTGACTTTATTTAGTCACGCTGTTATTGTTTTGTCGCCCTCAGTCTGTATTGTATATCTCTGAATGAAAACATTTAAAAAGTACAGAATGATTATCCTGGCTTGTCCTGACTCAGCAGGTTGCATTGTAAGGCATGAAAATAAGGTCTCACTGAGCGAAGTGTAATCATGCTATTATAAGGAACTTTAATAATTTTAACGGCCATAGGGGTTGAGTTACAAGATGTACGAAATTACAGAATAAGGAAAGGACTAAGTCTCGTTCAAAACCAGATATACATGTGGTTATTCTACTCCATAACAACCCGTTTAATAGGAGAAGTTCCGTTGATCGATCTACCCTTTGTTATGATAATTTTGCAGGCCTACAACCCAATCGCCCACTAAGGGAAACGAGTGCCCCGGACAATTTTACGAAAACATTTGGTATCGTTATTTCTCTCTCTCTCTCTCTCTCTCTCTCTCTCTCTCTCTCTCTCTCTCTCTCTCTCTCTCTCTCTCTCTCTCTCTCTCTCTCTCTCTCTCTCTCTCTCTCTCTCTCTCAGTAAAACAAACAAGAAAGTGCAGTTTTTGCTTGAAGAAAGACATGGTTTGTCAAGAGAGGATCCTCTCTTGGTCTTGTTAATCTTTATCTCATGGCATAAAATCTTCCAATTCACTGAAAGCTTGAAAAATACAACTCGGGAAAGAAGTGAATAATTTATGTTACACAAACGATCAAACTTTACCTAAAGTTGTGAGTTTGAAGAGGAAATGCGGGTGTTTTCCACATTGCAACTCAAGCATGCATGCATGCCTTAAACTTAAGAACCTCTTGTAGATGTGATCTGTTTTGTTTCCTCCCTCCGAACACTCTTTTTCTTTCTGCTACTTAATCGTTGGAGTAAAGTTTTGTCTGCATTCTCTTCTAACAGAGACTAGGAAATGGCTGTATAAAAAAGATTCTTATCTTAACTTTATTTCACATTCTGCAAAGTTACAGAATACTCTTACTTAACTCCAGCCCTGAATACCATCCGAGATAGACGTTTATTGCACAACGAGAGAGTTTGATGAAGGAGAGAGGTTTAACTAGTTTTGCCTTTGTAACGAGATTTATGTTTGCCTGCAGTTCAATCGACAGAGCCATTATTTTCTTCTGGACTTTGTACTCCTAAGAAGGTGCACTTTCACTTTACAGACCAAAGTGAATTTAGTAGGTCAATAAGTAATTCAGTCATTCAGACATTCCTTCAGATACTCAGTTAAGCAGTTTGTTACCTTACCAGTCAATTCATTAATCAATAAGTCAGTCAATTAGCGAGCTAGTCAGTAATTATATAAGTTAGTCAATCACCCACTTAGTCAGTCAGTCACTTAGTCCTTTATTTAGTCGGCCAGTCGCGGTCACTCATGATTAGTCAGTCACAAACACCTTCATTAGCTAGATAGTCCAACAGTCCCTATTGTTTTTGATTGAGGACAAACATCCGGTATGAAGTACGGAAAAGAATATACCTGAAATTGACTTGACAAACACAACCGAAATAACTAGCAAACCACATTTTCCACATTTTATGTTACGAAATGAAGCAAGGCGAAATGAAGCAATAAGGAGAGGAGAAAGATCTTGGAAGAGCGAAAACGGCTCTTCTTCCACACTCTTTTTTCTTTTGATTTGTCCTCTTTGGTGGTGCAATTGTGCCACTGTTTCCTAGTTGGAGCAGGCAGGCTAAAAAGATGATTCAGGTTCCAAATAGTTGCGGGTTGTAACTTGCCATTTGAATGATATGAAAACATCTGGAAACTACCAAGACATATAGAATTTGCGGTCTCGGCTTGAATGCTTTATTCTTGCCTCAAACATGGGTACATCACATAACTACCGCTAATTATTTTAAAACATATTCATGATAGTCCCTACAAGCATAATTCCACCAATAAAGTATGAATAATGTTTCTATAACGGTTATCAAATTCCAATTTTTTCCGTAAACTATAGGTATCCATATGTGCAGATTTTAAAATGTTTTAATAGTAGAGGCATTCATTATGGTATAAATATTGTCTTTTGACATAGTTTCATTACTCAGATACATTGCGTGCTACTGATCTAACTATTTGTGGCTTGAATTAATTTCCTGGTGAATTGAAAGTTACGAATTTGCCTCTCTAATCGTATTAGGGCCGGAGCAGTTACTGAAGAAAACAGCCGTACAGCTCTGCCCTCATGGCTCTGTATTTATGAGTCCAAGTCTTGGGCCAGAACCTGACAAAACGAGCCCTGATGTGCTGTGGTAACACATGGGATACCACCGTTTCCTGATCATTGTTACCCTGAAATACCTGAAAATGTCGTAAAATTTAATAAGAATCACAGTACAATTTTCGTCAGAATTATTGAAATATTCCTTTTTAAATCCATTTTGATTATGGATGACGAGAAAATTGGACCATACTCTTTAAAAACCCCAACCTTGAACTGTTGAAAGAGGAGCGCGATGTTACAACAAAAAATTGAAGGGTTTGTATCTGATTGATTGATTTTCAGAGATCAATCGATTAATATCTCACGTCATTCAATTTTTTTATACTTAAGGATAACGCGTAAAAAAGGGAATTCAAGCTCTTTCACACAAGTGTTGATAATTAAACAAAAACTTCAGGAAACTTTCCATGAGCTCTCTCCGGGTTCGGAACAGAGAAAAATATGACTTTCAGGCAAGTATCTTTTCAAATACTAGATTTTAATAGACAAATCAAATTCCAAACAGAGGACTTGCCTTCACATCTTCGTTCTCTCTATACGTCAACCAATCAGTCTCTTCGTTGGCACGTGATGAAAGCGTGTAAGTCTTTACCCAAAGGTAGGAACCGCGCTTCCCCTGGGTAGCGATTTTCTTGATCATTGCGTCCCTTCCGAGGTCAACTTGAACCCAGGACTTAAGCTCATTGTAAGCTGCAACCCATGCAGAAGGGGAGTTCAGACGAACCAGTCTGGGATGTGTATCCTCGTTCACAAACGATGAAGCACTTATAGCTGAATCTGGAATTCTTCCATCTTCCATACCAAGGGCCTCCATACATGCTTTTAAAAGAAGAACAAGTAACAATTCTTTTATAAAAGATGCTATCCTTACTGACATTGTTTAAGTAATAGGAGTATGTTCCCGTCTCATTTACTTCTGCAGAAGCAAATACCTCGTCCTTCCCTCTTTCCCTGCCACTCTCCCCACAATGCAGAAAGAAAAAAAGAGGCATGCTAGTAAAGCTACATCCCGACGCATAAAAATGACTCAGGAAAAGTGTATGGTCACTCCTACCATTCCACAATTCAATACTTTTTTCAAATAAATGTACCGGTCATACTGACAATAGAACTATAATGGAAATTGAACTAAGAATGAGGAAACAATGGAAGAATTAAGATATCATTTCTTTCTAAAAGACAAGTGTTTCTAGTTTCGTGTTGAATCAGTAGTTTTAAAATTTCAGTGCATACAGAAAATTGTATTTCTCGCCTTATTTGTTTCATAATTTGCATTAAAGCTTGCAATGGAACTGTCAGCAATTTGCTGATATTTCGAATTCCCCTTTTGCGGAATAATTCAACAACAGAAAATAGCACCAAAAATGATAATAATTACAACAACAAAAACAGGAGCAGCGACTTTGCTCTCAAAATGTATAGAAATTATCTTCCAAAAATGATCCCTATTTCCCCTACCTTCATGTATAAAGGAAAAGGGAATTGTTTCGAGAATATCAGCGATTCATGGACCGGATTTCTATTCGTTCCCAGAATGTTGGTGCACATTTCTTTCGGGCAAACAATTGAGGCCTTATCGCCCTTTTCCAAAATCATTGTCATAGTGCATTTGCGCCACGACCACGACCAAACCAAAACCATCTTTCTCTAGGTCGGAAATTATATTTAAAAAAGGTTACCAACATTACCTTTACATTTTCTGCCGCCCTCCACAAGCTCACATATCTCCTGTGGCAGTTTGCATTCAGCGTCAAAGAAGCAAGGCATTAAAAAGGCGTTAGTCATGTACATTGCCAATTCAAAATCCACCATGCTCTCTGGGGACGTCTCCGCACTCACGTTATTCAAATCACAAGTCTTTGCCTTTCGGTAAAAGTTTATGCTTTTACAATTGAGATCCTCGCTGCAGAATATCACGCAAGATTCCATAGTTGCAGATGGTTTGGTAGTGAATGCATGACCTGTTAAGATGCGATTTGGAATGGAGTAGGTTGCGCCTTGGCATTGAGTGACTGAAGATAACGTGTCACGTAATTGCCAGTAGATCATCACAAAGGAAGTTGCTATGACGCCTTTGGGAAGCATCGTGTTCCCCTAGAGTCAAAATATACGACGAATGAAATGATTTGAAAGAAATTAAACTGACGAAAAACTGTTTTGAATCTTCACTGAACTCCTTTGTAATGCTAAAGAAAAAAAGCTGTCCTGAGAGTCAAAATCGTTTAATTTCGTGTAAAGATGTTTTTATGGTTATAGTATACGTCTTCACGGTCGAAACTCTTAGTGTTGCACTCAGCAGGGGAGGTAAAACGTGGAAAATTCGAGAAATTCCCCTGCGAACAGATTCTGTACTTTTACGCGCGAAAGATGATAAAAGCAAAAATGACAAAAAAAATTTGAAGTTTTTAGAAGTAACTGAGTCAGAACAATAACCAAAGAAAAGCATTACTTGTGAGATTGAACACCGAGCAATGAAATTAAAAGATTTTTTTGAGCAATTCAAAGTCAATTCTAGATATAAAAGTGAAGCGACTAAAGAAAGATCGGTCAAAATTCCGAAATAAACTTTTTTCTGTTGTATTCAAGCCTCAGATGAAAATTTCAAAATCTTCGTTGAAAATTTCGCCTAATGAATGCGCTATTCCTTCAAGTTTGTTAAGAATTGCGCAAGTTTAATACTTCTGCAAAAGCTCTTCTAAGACCTATTTGCTAAACGTGGATGGTTTATGATTTTGTTTTTTGTTTTGTGCTGTTTTTACTAATCTTTCTTTGATAGAATTTTATTTTCGCGCGCTAATACTCAAAAGTACTTCGAGAAGCCTTGGTCCATTACATAACTACTCAAACATATTTTTTTCATAGGATTCATATTTACAATAAACTACGCTAAGATTTATACAATCCTCGTCAATATTTTCATCCTTTACCAAAAGAAAAAAGAATTTGCATGCAGTCCCTTGATCAGTCATACGATTACATGGAATTTCAGATTCCGAAGTCAAGACTCACAGTTACTTGCAATTGTAAATTTGGTCTAATAAAGGGAAACCTTGCTTTACCTTGGCTGTATCTTTTCCTTTCCAACTTTATTTGCGAGTGACTATCATGCCGATCATTCAAGGGATCTCCTGGTCAGATAAAGAAGTCAAGAAGTTATTTGAGACACTTATTAAACTAAATTAAGCTAAAGCACACAAGGGTGTCTTTCATTAACCCTATAACTTCCAAGATCTCATTAGTAATTCTCCTTACTGTCTCCCATACAGTTCTTGTGATGTTAGTTTGGAGAATTAACTGATATTTTGCTTTATACTCATCGACTGTCTGCTTGATATTGTATTGATATTGTAAGGAGAAATTCTGTCTTGGTCACTCATGGGAGTTTAAGGGTTAAAGAATACAAAAAAAGCATTATCAGGTGATGAATCCTACTGAGGACTATTCGATGATTATTCATAATTTAACACAACTGACAAAGCAAAAGAATGAATACAACTTATTAGCCGGAGGAATAGTCACATTTTTAGCGTTGTTTTATTTACATCACAGGCGACGATAGTTGGGTTCTTCCACCCGAAATTAAGATAAGAGAAATAAAGCTTCAATCAAAAACATCTTAAACTTAAAGATAACTTGGAACGTATTTTGATCATGGAACCTTCCCGTATTTTATCCGAGCTCGCTGTTGTTCTGACTTTATTCAGTCACGCTGTTATTATTTTGTCGCTCTCGGTCTGTATCGCATATCTATGAATAAAAACATTTAAAAAGTATGGAATGATTATCGTGGCTTGTCCTGGCTCAGCAGGCTGTAAGGCAAGAAAATAAGGTCCCACTGAGCGAATTGTAATCATGAAATTGAAGGAAACTTTGATAATTTTAACGGCCATAGGGGTTGACTTACAATTCGAAGGAAATTGCAGAATAAGGAAAGGACCGAGATTGGTTCAGAACCAGATATAGATGTAGTTATTCAACTCCATAACAAGCTGTGTAATAGGAGAGGTTCCGTTCATCGACCTACCCTTTGTTATGACCATTTTGCAGGCCTATAATCACTCAATCGCCCACCAGGGGGAATGGGTTCCCCGGACAAAGTTTACGAAAATATTCGGTATTGTCATTAATCTCTCATTCTCTCTTAGTAAACAAAGAAGAAAATGCATTTTAAAATATATTTCTTTAAAACCTTTTCAGTTTTGTGTGAAAAAAGGCACAGTATCGTCAAGAGAAGATCCTCTCTTGGTCTTGTTAATTTTTATTTCATAGCACCCATAAAGTCTTTCATTAACTGAAAGCTTAAAAAATACATTTTGGGAAAGTTGTGAATAATTTATGTTAAACAAACGATTAAACTTTACCCAAAGTAATAAGTTCTGAGGAGAAATGCAGGTGTTTTTCGCCTTGCAACTCAAGCATGCATGCCGTAAAATTGAAGATTTTTTGTGGATATGAGCCGTTTTGTTTTCTCCTTCCGAACACTCTTTTTCTTTCTTTTACTTAATTGTTAGAGTAAATTTTGTGTGTATTCTGTTTCAATAGAGACTAGGAAATGGCTGTATAAAAGAAATTTCCATCTTAACTTTTATTTCACATTCCATAAAGTTGGTGATAAATAAATGCTCCAACTTAACTCCAGAATACCATCCGAGATAGACATTATGGCGCAATTGGAGAGTTTGATAAAGAAGACAAGTTTTACCAGTTTTGTAAGGAAATTTTTGTCTCCTACAGTTCAATCAACAGACACATTATTTGCTTCTGGAAGTTGTACTCCTACAAAGGTGCATTTCCCTTATACGGACCAAATGACATTCGTCCCCAATCCCCCCCGACACACACCTAAGAAAAAAAAAGAAAAAAGAAAGGAAGAAAGAGTATTGGTAGGGGCCTAAACACGTTGTCTTTGCTTTAACGTTAGAACTTTATGTAATTCAATGTGTCACAATTAACACCTTGTGTCCTTATCATAATTTCGGTGAAAATGACTAACAACTATCAGCGTCTGTACACAAAGATGAACTTTAGGCTATCTCCAAACATTTTCTCGGGGAAACAGTTACAGCGATATTGGATTTTGTCAAGACCATTGTAATTATGCCCTCGTTCCACACCCGCCACAAAACAGGAAACAGTTCGGGAAGGGTTTTGAAGATATCAGTGTTATCTTTACAGTTGTCCCCACTCCCCACTCACCATGTTTCCTCTGGCCGTCCACATTAAAAGTCAAGGTAACAAGGGACTCGGCGAAGGTTTGTCACGGCATGTATATGGTGAATTCAAATTTCAACATGTTCTCAAGGGACGTCACCGTGCTCATGTTATTCAACTCAGTCAGTCACTTAGTCCTTTAGTTAGTCGGCCAGTTAGTCATTAATATTCAATCAGTCAGAGACACTTTCATTTAGTTAGATAGTCTAAAAGTCACTATTGTTTTTGATCGAAGCACCGTGGACAAACATCCGTTATGAAGTACGGAATAGAATACATCTGAAAGCAACTTGGTATACACAAGCGAAATAACTATGAGACCACATTTTCCATATTTTTAAGTTACGAAATGAAGCAAAGCCAAATGAAACAACAAGGAGAGGATAGAGACCTAGGAAGAGCGAAACTCTTCGTCCGCACTTTTTTTTCCGTTTCTCTTTTCATTTGTCCTCTTTGGTGGTGCTATCGTGCTACTGTTTCTCAGTTGGAGCAAGCGGGCTAAAAAGATGATTCAGATACCAAAATAGTCGCGGGTTGTAACTTGCCATTTGAATGTTTTGAAAACATTTGGAAACTACCAAGACATGTTTCTAAAAAAATAGCACGATGCTTTGTTTACGTTTTCGTATCGATGTTATATTTAAGATATTGTAAAACATGCACTTGCATATACAGAGTTCAATCCACGTGCAGTCATGTTAGATAAATATGATATTCTTGATTATATTATCACTCGTCATAATAGCATAGGGCGACAAATAAAAACACCAACTCTGTGTCATAGTGATAACTTATCATGCACATGTAATCACACAAGAAGTTGCGGTCTCGGCTTGAATACTTTATTCTTGCCTCAAACATGGATACATTGCATTACTTCCGCTGATTATTTTAAAACATATTCATGATGATCTCTAAATGCATAACTCTAATTGCCAAAACCATATGTCATGAAGATAACTTATCATGCACTTGCCCTCACATAATTCAAGAAGTTGCAGTTTCGCTCCAATGGGTACGTTGCATTACTATCGCTAATTATTTTAAAACATATTCATGATAATCCCCACGTGCGTAATTCTACCAAGAAAGTATGGATAATGTTTCTATAAACAATCATCGAACTCTAAATTTTTTCCATAGACTATAGGTGTCCATTTGTGCACATTTTAAAATGTTTTAATAGCAGTGGCATTCGTTATGGTATAAATATTGTCTTTTGACACAGCTTTCACTACTCAGATTCATTGCGTACTTCTGATTTGACTACTTGTTGCTTGAATTAATTTCCTGGTCAATTGAAAGTTACGAATTTGCCTTTCTAACCGTGTTTGGGCCGGAGCAATTACTGAAGAAAACAGCCGTACAGCTCTGCCCTCATGGCTTTGTATCTATGAGTCCAAGTCTTGGGCCAGAACCTGACGAAACGAGCCCGGATGTGCTGCGGTAACACATGGGATACAACCGTTACCTGATCATTGTTACCTTGAAATATCTGAAAATGTCATAAAATTTCATAAGAATCACAGTACAATTTTCGTCAGAGGTATTGAAACATTTTTATTCAAATCCATTTTGAATGTGTATAACGAGAAAAATGGATTATACTCTTGAAAAATAAACCCAACCTTGAAAGAGGAGCGCGATGTTACAACAAAAAAATTGAAGAGTTTGAATCTAACTGATTGATTTTCAGAGATCAGTCGGTCAATTCCTCAATTCATTCATCTATTTTTTATACCAAAGGATCACGCGTATAAAAGGGAATTCAAGCTCCTTCACACAAGTGTTGATAATTAAACAAAAACTGCACGAAACTTTCTATGGGCTCTCTCCGGGACCGGAATAAAGAGAAATGTAACGTTTAGGCAAGTATCTTTTCAAATACTTGATTTTCATAAAAAAAATCAAATTCCAAAGAAAGGACTCGCCTTCACATCTTCATTCTCTTTATACGTCAACCAATCAGTCTCTCCGTTGGCACGTGATGAAAGTGTGTATGTCCTTACCCACCAATAGGCACCGCGTCTCCCTTGGGTAGCGATTTTCTTGATCATAGCGTCCTTTCCGAGGTCAACTTGAGCCCAGGGCTGCGGGTCATTGTTGGCTGCAACCCATGCAGAAGGTGAGTTGAGACGAACCTGATTGGAATGTGTACCCTCGCTATAAAACGATGAAGCACTTATAGCTGAATCTGGAATTCTTCCATCTTCCATACCAAGGGCCTCCATACATGCTTTTAAAAGAAGAGCAAACAACAGTTCCTTGATAAAAGTTGCTGTTCTTACTGACATTGTTTAATGTCTCATTTATATCTGTCTCATTTCCATCTGTAAAAGTAAATACCTCATTCTTCCCTCCTTCCCCGCCACTCTACCCACCAGAAAGAAAAAAAGAGACATGCAATTAAAGCTACATCCTGACGCATACAATGGCCCAAGAAAAGTGTATGGTCGCTCGTACCATTCCAGCATACAATAATTTTTTAAATGATTGTACGGGTCGTAATGAGAATAAAAATATAAGGGAAATTGAAATCAAAACGACAATTGTTTTCAGTTTATTAAAGTTCACACGGCAACCAGGTGGACAATCAGACATGGTTTGATGATACTCTGGTTTACAGATTTAATGAATGTAACTGAAGAAGTTACAATTCATAGACCCAACGTTTCGACACTCCTGTCTAGAGCCTTGGGAGGCTTGGCATATTAACTCTGCCCGCGCTCCTTTAAATCGTGACGATGGCGGCTTGCTTCCTGACGCCTATTTACACCTCGTCAGAAAAAAGGGCAGCTAATTAGCGATCATAGAAAAGGACTTCTTGTTGCAGTGTTTAATCACCCCTGATGAAGGCACTAGACATGAGTCTCGAAACGTTGGTTCTATGAATTGTAACTTCTTCGGTTACATTCATTAAATCTGTAAACCAGAGTAGCATCAAACCATGTCTGTTTCAGTTTCTTGTCGATTTAGCAGTTTTACAATTTCATAGTATGCAGGAATTTGTATTTCTAGCCCTATTTGCTTCATAATTTGCGTTAAAGCTTGCAGTGGAACTGTCAGCAATTTGCTGATATTAAAATTCGAATTCTTCTCTGCGGAATAATTCTACTACAAAAAATTGAACTAAAAATAACAATTTTGGCCATGGCAAAAACAACAGCAGCAACATTGCTCTCAAAATATGTAGAAATTATCACCCAAATATAATCCTAATTTGCCCCACTTACATGTATACGACGTTCCTAATTGGAAAGGGAATCGTATAAATAAAATATTGAGATTATCTTTATATTTGCGTAACACCAATATCAGCGCTCCATGGACCGGCTTTCTATTCGTTCCCGGAATGTTGGTGCACATTTCTTTGGGGCAAACAGTTAGGACCATATCGCACTTTTCCAAAATCACTGTAATAATGCATTTGTGCCACGACCACGACCAGACAAAAGCCATCTTTCTCTAGGTCGGAAATTATACTTAAAAAAGGTTACCAACATTACCTTTACATTTTCTGTCGCCCTCCACAAGCGTATCACGTAATTGCCAAAAGATCATCACAAAGGAAATTGCTATGACGCCTTTGGGAAGCATATTCGTTGTCCTAGAGTCAAAATATACGAATGAAACGATTTAAAAATTAAAACTGACTATTAATCAATATTTTTGTTCTGAAAAACTGTGTTGAATATTCACTGAACTCCTTTATAATGCTAAAGAAAAAAAGCTGTCCTAAGAATCAAAATCATTTAATTTTGTGACAAGATGTTTTTTTGGTGATATTCGATACCTTCGCGGACGAAGCTCTTAGTGTTGCACTTAGTAGAGGCCGGTGTAATGTAAGGCATAAAAATAAGGTCTCAATGAATTACAGGAAACTTTAATAATTTCAACGGTAGTAGGGGTTGAGTTACAAGACGAACGAAATTGTGCAGAATAAGGAAAGGACCGAGGTTCAGAGCCAGATATACATGAAGTTATTCTACTCTATAACAAGCTGTGTAATAGGCGAAGTTCCGTTGATCGACCTACCCATTGTTATGATCATTTTGCAGGCCTATAACCGAATCGCCCACCAGGGGGAATGGGTTCCCCGGGCACTTTTATGTAAACACTTGGTATCGTCATTAGTCTCTCTTTCTCTCTATCTTACTGAAACAAAGAAGAAAGTGCATTTCTAAATAGATTTCTTTAAAAACTTTTCAGTTTTGCGCGAAAAAAGGGATGGTATTCTTTTAGTATTAAGATATAGAGAGGATCCTCTCTTGGTCTTGTTAATCTTTATCTTATGGCAGAACATCTTCCATTAACTGAAAGCTTGAAAAATACAATTCGGGAACGATGTGAATAATTTGTGTTATACAAATTAAACTTTACCCAAAGTCGTGACTTGTAAGGGGAAATGCAGATGTTTTTCGCCCTGCAACTCAAGCATGTATGCCTTAAACTTGAAGACCTGTTGTGGATGTGAGTTTTGTGTTCTCCCGCCGAACTCTCTTTTTCTTTCTCTTTTTGTGTGCATTCTGTTACAATAGAGACTAAGAAATGGCTGTATAAAAGAAATTCCTATCTTAATTTTTATTCCCATTCCGTAAAAATACTGATAGGAAAATACTATAACTTAACCCCAGCCCTGAATACCATCCGAGATAGACATTATGCCACAACAGGAGAGTTTGATGAAGGGACAGGTTTAACTAGTTCTGTTAGGAAATTTATGTTTGTCTGTAGTTCAATTAACAGAAACATTTTTTTTTCTGAACGTTGAACTCCTAAATGGGTCCATTCCCCCTATACGGACCAAAATTAAATTGTCCCTAATTCCCCCCCCCCCCCCCCCCCCAACACACACCCCCAAAAGAAAAGAAAAGAAAAAGAAAGAAAGGTTATTGATGGGGGCCTAAATACGTCTTTGCTTGAACATTCTAACTTTGTGTACCTCAATGATGTCACAATTAATACCTCATGTCCTTATCATAACCTCTGTGAAAAATTACTGAGGATGATAAGATGATTCAGATACCAAAATAGTCGCGGGTTGTAACTTGCCATTTGAAAGATAAGAAAACATTTGCAAACAACCAAGATATGTTTCAAAATATAGCTCCATGTTTTGTATACGTTTTCTTCTCGATGTTATATTTAGGATATCTGAAACATGCACTTGCACGTACATATTTTTATCCACGTGCTGTCATTTTAGTTAAATGTGATGTTCTTGATTATATATGTCATCCGTCATGATAGTATAAAGCGACAAATAAAAACACGTACCAAACCATATGTCATGATGATAATTTATAATGCACGTGCCCCCACGCAAGAAGCTGCGGTCTCCGCTTCAATGCTTTATTCTTGCCTCAAACATGGGTACGTTGCATTACTACTTCTAATTATTTTAAAACATATTCATGACAATCCCTATATGCATAATTTCACCACTAAAGAATGAATAATGTTTCTATAAATGATCATCGAACTATAAATTTTTTCCATAAAAAGTAAGTGTCTATTTGTGCAAATTTTAAAATATTTTAATCGCAGTGGATTTATTATGGTATAAATTTTGTATTTTGAAACAGCTTTCACTACTCAGATTCATTCGTGGCTTAAATTCATTTCCTGGTCAATTGAAAGTTACGAATTTGCCTTTCTAACTGCATCGGGGCCGAAGCAGTTACTGAAGGAAACAGCCGCACAACTCTGCCTTCATGGCTCTGTATCTATTATTCCAAGTCTTGGGCCAGAACCTGACTAAACGAGCCGGGATGTGCCGTGGCAACACAAGGGATACCACCATTTCCTGATCATTGTTACCTTGAAATACCTGAAAATGTCATAAAATTTGATAAGAATCAAATGTTTCGTCAGAATTATTGAAAGATTTCTATTCAAATCCATTTTGATTGTGTAGAACAAGAAAATTGGACCATGATCTTGAAAAAAAAAACCCAATTTTGAAAGAGGAGCGGGATGTTACAACAAAAAATTGAAAAGGGTTGTATCCAATTGATTGATTTTCAGCGATCAATCAATTAATTCCTTAATTCATTCATCTATTGAGGGCTGCAACCCATGTAGAAGGTGAGTTGAGGCGAATCAGACTGGGACGTGAACCCCCGCTCACAAACGTAACTCCAGCCCTGAATACCATCCGAGATAGACATTGTGGCACAGTTGGAGTCTTTGATGAAGGAGACAGGTTTAAATAGTTTTGTAAGGAAATTTGTGTTTGCCTGCAATTCAATCAACAGACACATTATTTGCTTCTGGACGTTGAACTTGTATAAAGGTCAAATCTCCCTATACGGACCAAAGTGAATTCGTCCCCCATCCCCCTCCCCCCAACACACACCTAAAAAAAAAAAATAGGGTATCAATGGGGGCCTAAAAACGTTGTCTTTGCTTGAACGTCATAACTTTGTTTACGTTAATGCTGTCACAATTAACACCTCATATCCTTATCATAATCTCTTTGAAAATGACTAACAACTATCAGCGTTTTTACACCAAGATTAACTTTAGGCTATCTCCTTACATTTTCCTGGGTAGACAGTTACAGCGATATTGGACTTTTTCAAGACCATTGTAATTATGCTTTTGTTCCACACTCGTGACAAAACTAAAAACAGTACGGGGATAGTTTTCAAAGATATCATCGTTACCTTTACAGTTGTCCCCGCTCTCCACAGGGTGGTATATCTCCTCTGGCCGTCCACGTTCAAAGGCAACGTAACAAGGGACTCGAGGAACGTTTGTCACGGCATGTATATGGTGAATTCAAAGTCTATCATGTTCTCTACCTGTTGTTTAACTCACAAGTTCTCATCTTTCGATAATAGTTTATGCTTATACAATGGAGACTCTGGCCGCAGAATATCACCCAAGATTCGATGGTTGCAGATGGTTGGTGCCGTTGTCTTTGCATGCTTGAAACGCTTTAACTTTGTGTGCTTTAATAAAAGTATCGAAATCTGATCATAAGAATCCATTCTCGGCTTTCTTAAATTAAGTTTCGTATAAAAGTCGCTCTGACAGTCGGTCAGTTGGTGAGTTAGCGTAAGCAGTAAGGTTGTCAGTCAGTTAGACAATCAGAAAATCGGTCAGTTAGACAGTCAAAAAGTCATACAGTCTGACAGTCAGACAGTTAGACGTTCAGAGAGTCAGTCAGTCAGTTAGTCTGTTACTTTACCGGTAATTCATTATTTAGTTAGTCATTTGATTAGTTAGTCAGTTAGTGGTAAGATTAGTCAATCAGCCACGTAGGAAGTCGGTCAGCGAGTCAAACAATCAGTCAGACAGTAAGTCAGTCAAACATTCTGTCTGTAGGTCTGTAGGTCAGTAGGTAAGTCAGTAAGTAAGACAGCTAGTTAGTCAGTTAGTCAGTCATTTAGTCGTTAAGTCAGTAAGTCAGTCAGTCAGTAGGCCAGTCAGTCAGTCAGTCATTCAGTAGGTTAGACAGTAAGTAAGGAAATAAGTAAGTAAGTCAGTCAGACACTCATTCAGATAGTCAGTTAAGCAGCTTGTTACTTTACCAGTCAATTCATTAGTAAATATGTCAGGAAATAAGGTAGCTAGTCAGTAATTGTATAAGTTCGTCAATCAGCCACGTAGTCAGTCAGTCACTTATTCTATTAGTTAGTCGGCCAGTCAGTCATTCATAATCAATCAGTCACAAACCCCTTCATTTAGTTAGATAGTCTAACAGTCACTACTGTTTTTTATTGAGGCAAACATTTGGACAAACATCCGTTATGAAGTACGGAATAGAATATATCTGAAAGCGACTTGATAAACACAAGCGAAATAACTAGCAAACCACATTTTCGACATTTTTACGTTACAAAATGAAGCGAAGCGAAATGAAGCAACGAGGGGAGGAGAGAGACCTAGGAAGAGCGAAAACGGCTCTTCTTCCACACTCTTTATTTTTATTTTTATTTTCATTTGTCCTCTTTGGTAATGCTATTGTGCCACTGTTTCCCAGTTGGAGCAGGCGGGTTAAAAAGATGATTCAGATACCAAAATAGTCGCGGGTTGTAACTTTCCATTTGAATGATAAGAAAACATTTGGAAACGACCGAGACACGTTTCTAAAAAATAGCACGATGGTCTGTATACGTTTTCTTCTCGATGTTATATTTAAGATATCGTGAAACATGCACTTGCATATACAGAGTTTTAATTACGCACTGTCATTTTAGAGAAATATGCTGTTCTTGATTACCTAGGTCACTCGTCATAATAGCACAAGGCGAGAAATAAAATCACCAAACTATGTGTCATGATGATAACTTATAATGCACATGTCCTCACACAAGAATTTGTGGTCTCAGCTTGTATGCTTTATTCTTGCCTCAAACAGGGGTATATTGTATTACTACCGCTAATTATTTCAAAACATATTCATGAAAATCCGCACGTGCATAATTCCACCAATAAAGCATGAATAATGTTTCTATAAACGGTTATCAAACTCAAAATTTTTCCATAAACTAGGTGTCCATTTGTGCAGATTTTAAAGTGTTTTAATAGCAGTGGCATTTATTATGGTATTGTCTTTTGACACAGCTTTCACTGCTCAGATTCATTGTGTACTACTGATCTAACTACTTGTTGCTTGAATTAATTTCCTGGTCGTTTGAAAGTTACTTGCCCTTCTAACAGTATTTGAGCCGGAGAAGTTACTGAGGGAAACAGCCGTACAGCTCTACCCTCATGGCTTTGTATTTATAAGTCTTGGGCCAGAACCTGACGAAACGAGCCCTGATGTGCTGTAGCAACACATGGGATACCACCGTTTCCTGATCATTGTTACCTTGAAATACCTGAAAATGTCATAAAATTTGATGAGAATCACAGTACAATTTTCGTCAGAATTAGTGAAACATTTTTATTTAAATCCATTTTGATTGTGTATAACGAGAAGATTGGACCATGCTCTCGAAAAAAAAAAAACCCAACCTAGTAAGAGGAGCGCGATGTTACAAAAAAATAATTGAAGGGGGTTGTATCTAACTGGTTGATTTTCAGAAATCAGTTGGTTAATTCCTTAATTCATTCATCTATTTTTTTTGTATTTAAGAATAACGCGAAAATGGTAATTCAAGCTCCTTCACACAAGTGTTGATAATTAAACAAAAACTTCAGGAAACTTTCCATGAGCTCTCTCCGGGTTCTCGAATAGAGAGAAATGTGACTTTTACGTAATTATCATTTCAAATACTTGATTTTAATACATAAATAAAATTCCAAACAAAGGACTCGCCTTCACGTCTTCGTTTTCCTTATACATCAACCAATCATTCTCTCCATTGACACGTGATGAAAGCATGTAAGTCTTTACCCACTGATGGGCACCGCGTCTCCCCTGGGTAGCGATTTTCTTGATCATTGCGTCCTTTCCGAGGTCAACTTGAACCCAGGGCTGTGGGTCATTGTTGACTGCAACCCATGCAGAAGGTGAGTTGAGACGAACCAGATTGGAATGTGTACCCTCGCTATAAAACGATGAAGCACTTATAGCTGAATCTGGAATTCTTTTGTCTTCCATACCAAGGGCCTCCATACATGCTTTTAAGAGAAGAGCAAGTAACAATTCTTTTATGAAAGATGCTATCGTTACTGATATTGTTTAATTAATAGGAATACGTCCCCGTCTGATTACATCTGCAGAAGCAAACACCTCATTCTTCCCTCCTTCCCTGCCACTCTACCCACCAGAAAGAAAAAAAGAGACATGCAATTAAAGTTACATCCTGACGCATACAAATGGAAAGTGTATGATCGCTCGTACCATTCCACCATGCATGCAATACTTTTAATGTATCGGTCGTAATGAGAATAGTACTTAAAAGGAAATTTGAACTAAGAAGGATGCAACAATTTTAGAACTAAGATGGCATTTCTTCTAAAAAGACAATTGTTTTAGTTTCCAGTCGATTCAGCAGTTTTACAATTTCAGAGCATGCAGAAATTTGTATTTAGCCTTATTTGCTTTATAATTTGCGTAAAATCTTGCAGTGAAACTGTCAGCAATTTGCTAGTATTTAGAGTTCCTCTTTGTGGAATGATTCAATTACAAAAAATAGCACCAAAAACTATGACAATAACAAAAAAAACAGCATCAACATTGCTATCAAAAATATAGAAATTATCTTCCAAATAAGATACCTATTTGCCCTACTTATATCATATGTGTACGATATTCCTAAATGAAGAGGTTTTTTTTTAAAAAATATTAACATTACCTTCACATTTGCTCCCGCCCACTACAAGCAGGCAGACCTCTTCTTGCCGTTCACATTCATTGTCGTAGTAACACGGGACTTGAAAAGCGTTGGTCATGTACATAGCTGATTCAAAAGCCACCATGTGTTCTGGGGATGACATCAGGCTCATGTTATTCAACTCACAAGTCTTTGTCTTTCGAAAGTAGTTTATACTTTCGCAGTCAGGATGCTCCCTACATAAAATCACGCAAACTTCGATGGTTGCAGATGGCTTAGTGGTGAATGCGTGACCTTCCAAGATGCGATTTTGAATGGAGTAGGTTGCCCCTTGGCATTCCGTGACTGAAGATAACGTGTCACGTACTTGCCAGTAGATAATCACAAAGGAAGTTGTTATGACGCTTGTGAGAAGTGTCATCATTGTCCTAGAAACAACTTGAATAAACGAACAAGAAGAACAGAAACTGCTGGAGTTAATAAAAAATGAACCCCTCTGAAAATCTTCAAGAGATGACGATGTTTTTAAAGTCTTAGCAAAATAGAGCACACTATTGTTTCGCCTAGGGAGGTTTGGTTTTGGTGATCTTCATTATGTTGCTGATGAAGCTCTGAGCGCTTCGCGTTGTTAAAGAAGTTTTAAATGACAAGAAATAGACAATCCAAGTATAGTATAAAGGGGAAATTCAATTAACAAAAAAAGAAAAAAAAACCGAGAAATTTCAGTACGAGCGCATGTTATGTTTTGTTCTTCGTAAGAAATAAGATCAAACAAAATCTATTCGAGGATCGTGACTTGTTTTACATTTCCACTTTTCGTCTTTTCCTTTACGTGAATGATTGGAACCTCGTGGGTTTTTGTACTTAATTATGACATAGTTTTGTCGCAGGATTAGCTTTCTCGAACTGGATTAAAGTATTTGTGAAGTTTCAATGCCTAATATGAATTTTTTTTGGGTCTTCGCTCGAGACCTTTTTTTTGAAATTAAAATTAGTTCCTCCCCGCTGACTTTTCTGGAACGTGAAAATTTAATACTTCATTGAAACTGAATCAAAAAGGTTACAGGAAAATTGAGATTGTTTGCAAGATTCTTATATATTTTAACTGTTCTTCAAATGCTACTAAAAAGTCTTTTCTTGCGCGCTGATAGCTTAAACTTCAGAAGATAATGGACATTTACAGATGGAGAAAGCTTGATCTCTTACGTAACAGATCATAGTGTTTGAATTCGTCCACTTCGCCTTTTTGTTCGTTTTAAAAAGGAACTTCGTTAAGCTTTGTGCCTTTTGAGTTTCTCCTCTTCATCCTTAACCATTCTAGTTGCTTTTCTGACCCTTTTTTTTTCAAATTAAACAATTTTAGTGTTTATCTATTTTACCACACTTATGTCTCGCGTTCTCCTTCAAGAGGAAGTTAATTTTGAATTTGCCATAGACAACGCCAAATATCGTTACATAGCGCCTCTATTATTTTTCTCCATCATGCAATAAATGCATTTTTCGCTTTAAAAGTTAAGCATGAAAGTCAGATTAGATCTAAAATATATAACGAAGATAACCTCATTACCTCGGTTACCTTAGCGGAGTCATTACATAGCGCCTCTATTATTTTTCTCAATCATGCAATAAATGCATTTTTCGCTTGAAAAGTTAAGCATTAAAGTCAGATTACATCTTATATATGTCTAACGAAAATAACCTCATTACGCAACCTCGGTTACCTTAGCAGAGTCTTTTCCTCTGCTTCTTCACTTCACTTCAAGTAATTCTCTCGTACGGTTAATAAAGAAAGACAGCGATTCCTTGACAGTTGAATAAAATAAAATAAAATTAAGCCCACTGGTGCTTTTCTATGAAGAATACGTGGTATTGTTATGTGTGAGAGTGCACTTATGGTAAAACTGTCATATAATCATCTATTATTCAACACAGAGACTAACTTAAATGCGCCCGATATGGATCTCAGGCTTTCTCCATCGGAGAGCTACCGAGCTATAGTCTTAGTCATCATCGTATTTTCATCTTTTTCTGTTCTTTGACAATTTTGGTTTAGCCCCTGATTTTGGTGCACAAATATAAAAATTCAACCGGACTGAGTCAAATCTAAACTTTACACAAAATAACTATTAACCTAGAGTTTATTTTCAATTTTAAATCGCTAGGAACCTTGCGATTATTTATGTCTGCAATATCCTGTTTGAATTAATATTTTGAGCTGTGCTCGCCTCTCACATTTTGAAATTACATTTGATAACTTCATTTATCAAAAGGATTATACAAAGAATGATAATAGAGTTGAGAAGGTATATAAGTACATTGGCTTCTTCACTCAGTTATGTACGCACTATCACTTCAACGTGTGTTCCTCAACAAAGTGCAGTTAAATAATTAAGGGAGCCTTTCTTAACTATGCCAAGGGCATAAAAAACTATGTACAATTAGATTTGAAAAGAATTATTAAACAAACATGTAGGTTACCTTTACCACCGATTGGGAAGCATGAAATATTAAAAGTATTCGTTGTAATGTCTGTCACGAAACCTTAGCTGGCTAACAGAGCGAGGTTGAACAAGGAAAGGAGTGAGATTTCTTTTAGAGCTAAAATAAGTGGATAGGTTCTATTTGTAGAGAATCTGAGCTGAGAATCAGTTGTTTGCTCTCATTTTTAACTTTCGTCATCTTCCAGTAACAGAAGCACCATTCAAACGGTAACCAAGCGAGTGGGCTCTTTGAATCTCAGAATGAACAAACAATATCCAACGTACTCTCAATTTCTCGTGAGGGAATAGAGTTCTTTGAAAAATTATGAATAAATCCCTTCGGTTTTCATGTTCTTCCTTTAAAAAAATTACCATGTTTCATCAATATTTATGTCATTGTATAATTGCTCGACTTCTTGAATGGTTGAAAATATACCCCCAATGGACGAGCTCTCTGAAAGGATACAAATACACTTGTTTTATGATTCAAAATACTCGACTAGTTAGTCATACGAACACGTGATACGCTGGTCATCTTAAATAGTGAAAAAACACAAAGTCCCCGTTAATTGTCTATGGAGTAATTCTGTGGTGACGTAACTAGTCACCAATCTTCAAGTACGTAGTGGACAGAGGTGCTGAAGCTACAGACACAGCTTATATGTATTCATGCCATGTATGTGCTCTGTGTTCACCAAATCATATTACAATTTTTTCATGATGCAAAAAGGACCTATGCTCTCTCAAAAAAGTCACTTTCCAGAAATTAGAGAAAGGGAAGGGAATTAGACTAGCCCTGGCCCTGAATCTTCATTTAAAGTGACTCGACAGGTGGAATAGACCTTTTTCACCAACGAGAATGTGTTTATACAAAGTTAATATGGAAAATAAATAGGCTTTTGTGCCTGCGTAGAGCTGCGCGCTTATGAGTGTCTTTTGGCCTGCATTGCAAAAACCTTCAGCTGTAAATGTTCGCTCTCGTAACCGCCATCTTGAGATCTAAAAAGACGAGTAGAAAAAATAATTTGGCAGGCACGTTATTACAAACATAAACAAGCAGCTTTCACTTGCCCAAAAATAACTCTGCAATACGGGCCGGCCAAGTATCCATTGCGAAGTTATCTTAAATGAACCCATGATTCTTGCGAAACGAACCTGTTTTCTTTCAGCTTCGATGCAGTAATTAATCCAAAAGAATAGGCAGCAGGGTGTATCCCTCATATGTACCCTCTGGGTACCTATTTTTGGTGGAGATGACGCAGGTGCATGTGGCAGCAAAGATCGCTGATCTTATAGTAGTTGGCTTGGAGCTTTTTAAGGTTGTATTGACTAGGTTTAATTTGCTACCGGCAGCGGTAACGAAGGGAGTTGGTGTTGTTGAGCTTGTGGTATGGAGTTGGTTGGTAATGACAGTGTTATGGCATTTAACTGTGACGGTATAAATCCAAGCCTACCGTAGGCTATAGCGGAGTCCAAAACAAACCGGTTAAAGGACATTTCAGATGAAGAAAACCTCACCGATGCAAAAAGGAAATTTCGTCACTAACGTGCTAGAAATCTTAGATTTTGAACTATACTACGATTTTACACCCAAATTTAAAACATCTTGGAATTTTTGCTGCAAATGTATTACCATAGGAATTTGAATTAAGGGTTACGAACTTAAATTTCGAAAAAAAAAGAAAAAAAAAAAGCAAGGAACAAAACAAAATAAAATAAGAAAATAACCTTGATTAGAAATCATTCCTTTGGAACGAAAGGTTCAACAGAGAGTAACATCATCAGGTTATATAGCAGTTTATGGAAGAAGAAAATCACTGTGATTAGAAATCATTCCTTTGGAAGGAAAGGTTCAGCGGAGAGTAACATTATCAGGTTATATAGCAGTTTATGGCAGCATATCAGGAGTACAATCCTTGCAATTAATTTAGATCTAGATCTCAAACTCGTACAAAAGGTGTCTGGCTTGCGTACCATTACTATAAATTGTCATTTTTGTACACTTCCCAATGGCTGAAAGTGATAATAAGAATAAGCAACTGAGTGGCTCTTTGGTGTTAATGTAATTCCAACGTTGCTATGAACAATTATGTGCACAGTAGACCTTTAGATATCGTTATCACTAGGTAAGTTTTCGGGATAGAGAACCTTGATCCTGCATGTCTAGCTTCCCAACAAAAACAAATTTCCTTTGGTAAAAACCAAAGCTTTTCACCTCCAAGGACTGAGGTCGAAGTACTCAACAATGCCATATAGAGGTCACACAAGTGAGATAAATTGGGAAATAAAGATTCTTTTATTACTTAAAATAATTGCAAGAAGCCCTATTGAGGCTAAGTGTACATAAGACTCTTGCAATTTGTTCCTTAATCCGTGGAAGAAGGCGAACTTAGTTGCTTCCTTCACAGAGTTCTGTTTTAAAAATTATGCTAAACTTGCTTGGCCCAAGCCAGGCAATATGGAAAGGAACTGTTGACCAATTGATGCATATTTCATTTAAGTTAAAAATTGTGTATTTTGTTAGTGTTAAGATACCATCTTAATGGTAATGGCCACTATATTCATTGACTTTACAAAATTACTCAGCTAAACTTGATGAGTACGGTGGTTCCTGTTAGCTAGCTTTCCCACTTTGTGATTCTGGCGGTTTACAGTCAAGTCGCCCGAGAGTCATCTCGCCCGAAGTCATGTCGCTCGAAACCTGAGTCATGTTGCCCGAAATTTTAATTATGTCGCCCGAAAAAAAAAAAGTCAAGTCGCCCGAAGAAACAAATACTAAAAAGATCTGAATTTTAGACTGTTAGGCAATAGGCAATAACGTTGAGAAATGTTTATCATTAGAGCGCTCTTTGTTTCCGACAACACCATGAAGATTCTTAAAGTGTTGTTCGTTTCCAACAACAAAATGCAGCGTTGTTTGTTTGGTATGTAATCGTTTCTTACTCACGGACGTTTCGTAAGCTTGAGAAACTTTTTCTTGGTTTCTAACAATACCATGAAGACTTTGACTACACAGAAATCGATCGTATGCTCGGAATTGAAATATGTTTGAGTAACGATTCTAAAAGCGTTGTTCGTTTCTAACAACAAAGGGAAGCGTTCTCCGTTTCTAACAAAAAAATGAAGCGTTGTTCGTTTGGCATATACTCGTTTCTTACTCACGGACATTTCGTAAGCTTGAGAAACTTTTTCTTGGTTTCTAACAAAGCCATGAAGACTTTGACAACACAGAAATCGATCATATGGTCAGAAAGGCCATATGATCGACCGTAATCGTCGCACTGTAGGGCTTGTTGACGTGGTCTATTGCTCATTTTGATCAGTTCGTATTCGTATTGTAGCTAGCTTTACCCTCTTCATATATACTTTGATCGGTTCAAAATATACATGCGTCCGCCAGAGGAAACAGTGCGCAACAACATAATTTTTGCCTATTCTGATCCTGAGGGAAATGATGCTATCAGACTACTACAGTGAAAAAAGTCACAAGCATAGACAAGAGACTGTTATCTTAAAAATATCACACTTACCTTACGCAAGGCAACAAGTTAATTGTATTTGTATGTTACTCGCTTTACCTTTTACCGACTTGTCGAACGTGACAATCGACGTTCGTTCACCAGGTGTTATTGTTAAGAAAGTCACAAATAGACACAACAGAACTCTACTTGTATGTTAAGCTACATCCGTGCATTTGTTGTTATAGAAACGAACAACGCTTCCCTCTGTCGCTAGAAACGAACAACGCTTTTAGAGTCGTTACTCAAACATATTTCAATTCTGACCATACAATCGATTTCTGTGTAGTCAAAGTCTTCATGGCATTTTAAGAAACAGGAAAGAGTTTCCCAAGCTTACGAAATGTCCGTGAATAACAAACGAGTACATATTAAACGAACAACGCTTCATTTTTTTGTTAGAAACAGAGAACGCTTCCCTTAGGAACGAACAACGCTTTAAGAATCTTCATGGCGTTGTCGGAAACAAAGAGCGCTTTAGCGATAAAACATTTCTCAACGTTATTGCCTATTGACAGTCTGAAATTCTGATCTTTTTAGTATTCGTTTCTTCGGGCGACTTGACTTTTTTTGGGGGGCGACATTACAAAAATTTCGGGCAACATGACTCAGGTTTCGGGCGACATGACTTCGGGCGAGATGACTCTCGGGCGACTTGACCGGTTACCGTTCTGGCCAATGACAGTTTTCAAATGTCACTTGTCCATCCTTTGCCGTGACTCACCCAGTTGGCTTGGGCCACACATGACATTTAAAGGTACAGCTTCATCTGTTGATGAAAAGAAAATTCCATTAAATCAGTCACATGTCAATGGATCATTCAGTATGCCAACCAGTCAGCAAGCCTCTTAGTCAGCCAATCCATTTAATCCAGTCAGCAAGTCAGTCAGCCTGTCAGCCAGACAACCAACTAACAAACCCCTCAGTCAGCAAATCAGCAAGTCATTCAGTCAGTCTGTCAGCCAACCAGCCCCTCAGTCAGCCAGTCAGTTTAAGCCAATCAGCAAGTCATTCAGGCAGTCGGTCAGTCAGTCATTCAGCCAACCAGCCAGCCCCTCAGTCTGCCAGTCAGCAAGTCAGACGGCCAGCCTTTGCATGACAAACATGGTCATGCATCAGGTTGGTTAGTCAGTCAATTATTCTTTCAATCATGAAGTCATTCACTTAGCTAATTAGCCAATTGAGCGGTAGTTGGAGGCTGCTGAATCAGAAATATCAAATAGGTCAATCCATCAGTCAGTGGTTCAGTCAATATGGAAGTCAGCTGGTCAATGAATATGTTCTCTTTACAGTAGTCTCTTGCCAGGAATCTGTCTAAAAACATGCCTGTAAACTGTTAACAATAAACAAAAGGAATGACTTAGTTACCCATCCTAGCTGGCCTTGTTAATCCCAATTGTTCCATGATTTCCATAAACTCTTTCTTAGATTTGGTTAAGCGTGGGTTATACTTTAGCTCCTCTCCAACAGTTGTAGTTGTCACACCTAAAATTGAAGCAACCAAAACTAATTGAGAAATATCTTCCTTCATCAACCCAAAGAAATAAACTGGATTCAATCAGTGCATGCTTCAGAGAGAAAAGTGGCATTATTATATCAAAATTTATGAATCCTTAATGAGCTCTGAACTTCCAACTAAAATTTCATTTGAACAAACTGCACAAGTTTTCAAACATTGAACAAACCATTATAGTCATGAGCTGGATACAACATGTAGTCCTCTGGTAAAGAGAGGATCTGATTCCTTACAGAGTCATACAGTGTCTCAGGATTCCCTGGAAAAAGAGACAATTAGTCATAAAAGTAACCATAGACATTGATAAATTACACTTATAGAACACAAATTTAACTCATGCATGTCCTTAACTCTTAATGATCGTCAAAGAGATTGCAGTCCTCTAAAAACAATTGGAAAACTTTTCTCAAAGGCGTTTTGACCTCTCCCTCCTTTGGACTATTGTTGACCCCCTTTGGTACAGATTTCTTTTTCTTACCAGCATTCTGCTCAGTGCAGTTAAGACCAAAGAAGGCAGCTATAATTTTCATGAAGTAAATATTTCAAACACTTGCTTGCCAAAATCACCTCAGTCTACTCTGCAGGCTAATTACACTCAAATTTCCAAGTTCTAGTTATCCTGCAGTGTACAGGAGCTGAACTTATGACTTTCTGCTTAGATCCTCAGATATTCCATCAATGAGAAACAGGAGACTACTTGTGGGTAGAGCATCAACCTGGGTGCATATACAGTCACACCCTTCTTCAATTCCTAAAAATATCTCTCTCTCTAGGTGGAACTTTTCTAGACCTGCTCAAAAACTGTTATGATTAATTTAACAATTACAAAAAAACTTGATTCATATTGCCCATTCAACTTCATGATTACCTTCTTGAAAATCAGTTCTTCCACAAGCTCTTATCAGAAGGGCATCACCAGTAAATGCCATCCTACCAGTATGATCCACATACGTCACACAACCTACAAAGTATGAATTCAGTGATAGACCTGTACACATAGTGAATAAATGAATAAAATTAATGAATAAAGGGGGTAAGTGACTACAAAACTGTGGTGTTGCATTGGCGGGATAGTAAAAATAGGGTAATTAAGTGTCATCAATTGAGTTTATTGTATAACATAATTTGGCTGCCATAAAGAGGTTTAAAGCCAATATTTCAAACGTTAACCCTTTGTCGGAGCTCTGATGAAGGGCTAACTCTAGAAATGTCAGCTTTCAAATTCTTTGCGGAGGTCAATTTATGTTTTTAACTCAGTTGATAATACTTAATTCAAGCTAGTGGTTGGTCATTACTTTTAGAGAGAGTGAGTGCAGAAGCCACTGAGTTTAGTGTAAAGCTTTTCAGGAGACTTCAAGCCCTTGGTATGGATGATTTCAGTCACATCCAAAATTTTGGTGCAATAATTTGAAGAGGAGATGGCTTGATTATGAGAGTGGCAAGTGATGATTTTTTATTAGCAGCTTGTTAATTATTTAATTGATTACTGATAAAATTCTCTCTCAGTCCCAGAATAGCAGACCATTGTATTCACCATAAACACTATAAACAAGATGAAGTTGGTGGAATTTTTTTGTATTCAATATTAATGCAGTGGAAAAAAGGGTTTCAATGGCTAAGTCTCTAACATACCATTTGTGTGCCCTGGAGTGGAGCGCACCTCGAGTACCTATGGTAAAAAATAAATAAAATGTCTGTTTATTAATCCTTTCACTCCAAAGATCTCATAAATAATTCTCCTTACTGTCTCCCACACAATTCTTATAATACAATAATTCAGAGAATTAATGGTATTGGATCAGCTAATAATCCCCTAGTTGATGTTGAACACTATGTTCTTACCATTTATCTGCTTGATATTGCATTAATATTGTAAGGAGAAATTTTGTCCTGGTCTCTCATGGGATTCAAAGGTTAATTTATGTCAGTCCTAAATTTGCCTATCAATAAAGTATGGATAAAAAAAAACGTTAAAACGTTTTAACTCTGAATTACCAGTAAACCAATTGAGTCAGAGATATTCATCATAAAGATTCAGAAACTACCTGATCTCCAAAGTTGATTTGGTCACCATTATTAACAAACACATCAGCCATAGCTCCACTGATTTTAGAGATCACACTTTTGCAGCCAGTGAGATTTTTAAGAATCCCTGTTCCTGTCACATGATCAGCATGGACATGTGTATTCACTGATGGAATTAAATTGAAATTAATTTTTTAAAAAAATCAGCAAAAAAAGAAATTGATGTCAGCCTGCTGTGCAGAACTCTAAGAATAGGCACACAAATTATTTTTTGTGCTTCTCTGAAAAGGAGGGACTTCTTGTAGTCTATTGGACCATAACGCAATGAATCACCTGCACAGTTCTGCAAATGGCAGATTAATTATAGTCTTGTAACATTTATTGATATCATTTACTAACTTGCGTAAATAAGTTTAAGGTCCAATTCTTTTGTTACTCTTATGTCTCTCTCAACCTGCAAATAAAAATGCTATATAAGCTTACAGGGTGGTATGATTTTAAACTGCAGTGTTGCTTTGTAACTCCCAAGTCATTAAGTCAGCCACGCTTAAATTGGCAGGGTTCTTACTACCTTTAATTATTTATAAATATTTCACTGACCTGGGTGTCGACAGGGTCAATGAGAACGGCCACCCTAGTCTTAGGACATCCCAGTAAGTAAGTGTAGGTAAATGACTCCAAGTCAAATAGCTAAAGAACAGGTAAAATTACAAATGGTCATCAAAAGAGGAAACATTTAGCTAACTCATCTTACAAAATGAATCCTTTATCTCCAAATAAATGATTAGAATTATAGTAAAACTACAGAATACAGGGCCACTTAAAATTTACATCTCATTGAATCATAATACATTCTTTTGTGTCTTGCCTTTTTCTTCAAAGCATGCCGACAAGGTGGACCCCAGTGGCCCTGGAATGTGTAGTTGCTCCAGAAAAATTTTCCCACTAAACAGCTATGTACAGTAACTGTGTATCTAAGAACTCTATTTTCCGTGTAAAATGGTAGAGGAAAGAAAATCCTACTCAAAAAAGATATGTTTGTTTGTTCTCAGCAAATGTTTGCTGGATAACATATTGGGATTGTGAGGATAAACCGTATGTTGACCTCTTGGAGGTAAAAGAGAGCCACGTCCCGCATACACGCCCCCTTTTCCTCACCAATCCTGTTCACCTTTCACTCGACCACTTTTTGGGTCATGCCGTCTGTTAATATTTGTTGATATCTACGGCAGCATAAGTTTCTTGGAAATTCTTGAAGCACAGGGAGAAAAACGAACAGCTGGATCGTTTTAATGTGCGTTTGAAAATGGACGTGAAAAATTGCACGAATGGAAACAAATGTAGACAGTTCACTCGAACGACCGGGAAACAGGAAAGCTGCAACAGATCGACTTCCCTGAATCAAATCTTGGGGTTACCCCAACTCACCTGTCGGAAAATAACGCTTGCTCTATTCCTTGCCATGATGAGACGATCACGTTGAAGCTTAGTAAGTCCGTAACAGTGGTAAGAAGATCAGTAATCTGTTGCAACTTTAAAGTTTTTGACGAAATTTATTACTGATATTGACTTCGTTCCAGTCCACACTCATTCTGTATTTTGCAGCGTTCAAAGGTTTCTGGGATGCATGTTTCTATGCAAAATGGCGGCAGATTTGTTTTGGACAACACTTTTTACAATTCTCTTCTTCGCCTTACCAGCGTTGATAAGAAGTCAAAGTAATAGAACTGTGTTTTCTCCCTCGTCTACGTCAGGTAGGTAATTTGCACGATATGGATTGTTCTCCCTCTGGGTTGCGTGAATTTCAACACGATCTTCAGTATTTAGCTAATGGTCGGTTGCATCATCTTTTTGTACTATTCAAAATATCGATGGTGAACCATTATTAGTGTGTAAACGTGGAAAGACTCACGCAACATCCTATCACCACTGTTACATAAGTAGATCCCCGATCACTCTCTTTTTAATTGCATTGCCTGTATTTCGATGCTTTTCCTGGACTGTTAACTAGTCAATTGACATTACAGAAATATACTTAACTCGTTGGTTATATTATTTGGCGTGTCTTTCTATTGTTCATTTAAATCTTCATTAACGTATGTTCTCTCAGACATGGTTTGATGCCACTCTGGTGTAAAGATTTAATGAATGAAACCGAGAAGTTACAATTCATGAACCTAAATAGTCTTCTCAATTTCTTTTTATATCCGAAGCTTTTCTTATCAATCCGCCTACGTGCACTATTTTTGGAAAATCTTCCATCCCATGAAATTTCTTCTTTCTTACGTACCAAACTGTCTGTAGCACTTTTTTGAGGCTTTTTGTATTGTCATGATTTGTGCTTGTTGCAGTCATTCTTGGACACAAATTTGGAGGAAGCTATTGAGATATTCTTCCCTGGAAACATTTTATCTTTTCAAATTATTTGTGTAACTCTCCTTTAACATCTTCCTTCTATCAGTACATTCCCTCAGTCTTGCATTTTGGTTGACATTTTAACATGCAGAATGTAAACTTTTAAGATTTCTTGAATGGAAGGAGTCACGAGACTGTTGTGAATGTTCTTGTATTATGAGTTCAAAGATCAGTTGGTCCCAACACATTTCGATCAAGATTTTTCAGCAACAAACCCTTGTGCTGATATAAGTGACCATCCATTTGTTCTTGTAGTGAACATTAAATTTTGTTGAACATGTTTATTAATTTTTGTTAGAAACATTTGCATCACTCTAGGGAAAATACAGTACCAGCCCAGTGGTCACATGTGCTCATATGCATACATTTGATCAGCTATGGGTGCATAGTACATTAATACCATAACTTATTCTGATTTTGAAAGGTTGTACCTGTGATCTAACTGGTAATGGGTGTGATGTGAATTGTTGCTGTGATACTGACTGTACCACAGTAGATCAACAGTCATTTACAGAATGCAGAGACAATGATGTCAAGTATGTTTTCTTTGTTTTCCATGCTGAAACATAACTGGTAATGGGTGTGATGTGAATTGTTGCTGTGATACTGACTGTACCACAGTAGATCAACAGTCATTTACAGAATGTAGAGACAATGATGTCAAGTATGTTTTCTTTGTTTTCCATGCTGAAACAAGACATATCATGCTTTCTGGTTGTTGCTGTTTTCAAATTTTTATATTTTTTAGAATAAACTAATGCTTAACTTTTATCAAATTTTATACTGGATATTGAAGTGAAAACCAACTGAAACTGAGGATCTATCTCTAGAATTGCTGATTTTTTTTGTTAATCGAAAAAGAGAGGTTATTTCTATATTCAGTTTTAATATTTAAAAAATAACCTTGATTGGTCTTTGAGTTATAATTTGTGTGTTCTCTTGCAGTCGAGATAGCAGAGTGTGTGTTTCTGAAGAAGTTATTTTTAAGCAAAACACCAAGTTTTTGACTGAAACTACTGGGACTGGTTTGTTCTGTATTGTCAGAGACAACTGTGAGTAATTGATTTTAAAGTAAGCAGTTAAAGAAATATAGTCTATGTAACATGCAAATGCTTAAACTTTATTTGACTTGAGATAGATCAAATTAGAATAGAATTTAAAAGGCACCTCAATTAAGCAGACAATACAATGAAGAGGGTACCCTTTGGTTCCACTTAACCCTTGGACCCCTAAGAGAGAACAGCATCTAATTTCTCCTTATAAGATCACCCCTGAATCACACATTAAGGTTACAAGATTAATGGAAATGATCACCAACCAAAGAATCTCTTGATTATTAAATAAATTCTCCTTTTCAGCATCTTAAGAAATGTGTGGTGAGCAATCAGTATGGAAAATATGCATACTGATACTTGGGAATTAAGGGTTATTAAGGGAGATTTGACAGTAACCTTTTTTTTATTTTATTTTAATGGCAAATAAAATATTCTTGGTAGCTTATAGTATGGGAAATGCACTACGGGTATATATCTAGCACATGACTGCATGTTTCACTTAACTCATTGTATGCAATAAAGCTACACGCATAGTTGTGTATAATTAAGACATATCCTGAAACTTTAAATGATCAAAGGTGAAATTTGATGGAATTACAACTGTACCTTTATGTCACATTATAGATTATTTTCCAAAGTTGCCATGTAAATTGTTGCTGTCTTTGCTAATTATTGATTTGCAGATGAATCCCGCAATTTTTATAATGATGTGCAGACTGCTACTACCAGTGAAGAATTCTCTAACTTAAAGAGTCAATCAGCAGCTGCTACTGTGTATGATTACAGTGGACAGTCAGATACAAGTTCTTCAGGATCAACCTCATACATGGTAATCACCTACAGAAAAATTAATGATCTATGGAGACTTTTTTAATAGCGAGCTATAAAAATAACACCAGCCAGCAAAGGTAAAAATATATTTCAGATCAAGACAGGTAAATTACTGTTTTCAATTGTCTTTTTTAAGTGGCCAATGCTTCCCAAACAAGCAAAATTATATACAGTAGTAAGCAGAAGTAAGTCAAAATCTAGCTAGCTGTTCTCACTTTTCTTTGCGTTCCATTCATTTGCTTGTCTTTTGAGTTCTCACAAGAAATGTCTGCTGGGATCATGACTTTGCATGTATCCACATCAGTGATGTTAGATACTACCAAGATATCCTTGTAGTTTTGACATCTGCAATGTACCCTTACTTCTTACAGGTGGGTGATCCAATCATTCTTCAATTTAACAATGGTGCAAAAGGATTCCTAGTCCTACCCAGACCCTTGCTTGGAGGTGAATGTGATGACAGGAGTGCTGCAGGTACTTGTACATATATGCAAGAAAAGAAAAAATCTTGGCGCCTGACTTTTATAGAAGAAGGCAGAGTTCACATTTAGGATCAATCTCATTTTATATTTATATTTATAACAACTTTATTTAAATAATAGCATATTATTATTATTATTATTATTATTATTATAAAAAAAGGGTTATAGAGGGGAGGAACTTAATCCTCATTGTAAACTATACCCCAGATATAAAAATTTAATACTATGCAATACACATAATTATACATACTGAAACATTTTACATACAAGCATATATCTATATAAATATAAAATCTAAATAAAGAAGACAAATTTTGTTTAAAATTATAATTAAATAATGTATAATACATAGAATAATTTAATTTTGTAATTATAGGTCTAGTTAAATAATGTTGATTTTAGAGCTTTCTTAAAAGCATTCATTGAGTCAAGTTCAACTACTGATGACAGCATCTAACTCTTACAAAGATTTACTTACTTTACTTCAGTGAATGTAAGTAATGATGCTAATTTTTCTCTTTCTTCTAGGATATCGTCAGGATGCTAGCACAGAGTGCACCAGAACCATTACAGATTTGACTACAGAATGTGAATCAAATGCAGTACTAAGTGCTAAAAGTTATTTTGAAGGCTTTGAGGTTGTTAAGGTAAAGAGTCTTTTGCATCCTCTATTTTACATCTTTTAGGAAAATTTAGCCTGCGCAACAGGAACTTGTTGAGAGGGGCATTAACGACTGCACAATGAGATCAAAATGTATTATATTACTTCTGGGTTGCACTTCTCAGTCCAATTCACTTGTATACCTGGTTTATACGAGGGCCTACAACACTGACAAATCAGCAATGATTTATGAATTAAAGCTGTGTTCCTATGTGAAGAGAGTACATTGCCTTTGCCACATGATTATTGCAATAAAGGTAAAGTCTGTACTCAAGCTGAATGGCCTATCCAGCCAGAGCTTATATAGGTTTCCATAGCTTGAAACGACCAGAAGTATTGCTACTTCCCCCCCTGGATGTGATGCCAATCAATTGTAAAGTTATCCCCCAACATTTTGTCAGGCTTCCTTGAAATTATGGCAGTACCCAATCATACTCCTGACAGAAGAACTGTGAAAGTCAAGTGTTTTATCCAAGAACACAACACAATAGTCAGGCCTCAAACCTGGACCACTTGACCCAAAGTCCAGTGCACTGACAAGCAGGTCACCACATCTCCCACCGAATTTTGTGATACTAGTCTTGTATTGATGGAACTAAATTTAGCACTGATAAATCTGTCATCCTACAAGGCTTTATCTCTGCACTGTGAATAACATACATGTCTAAATTTGTGTGCATGCAGAATCCTGCCATCATCCCATCAAATAGTACAGTCACCAACTCAACCAACAACTCAACCAACAACTCAACTAGCCCTGTCAGTAACTCTGTAGCTGTTGAAGTCAAACAGCCTGTGTTGTGTAAAACAAACCTTGGTATACCAATTCAGTGCTCCTTCATTTCACCCCCACATCCGACTTTAGATGCTCAAAACAAGACATGTAATGATGTTACTTATGAGGTAAGCAAAATTAACCAAATGATGATTGAAGCTCTCTTGTTGGGCAATTTAGCCAGATCACTCATTATATCAGTTATGAACACCCACACGAAACCCGGTTTGAATTCCAACGCATATAGGAAGTTTATGTTTATACATTTTCTGTAAATGGTGGTCATACTTGCACAGGTTACAATATTATGATACGGTCAGCTTTCTCTTTACAGCCAGTTT